TTCATGCTTGCCTCTATCCTAACATATGAGCCCTGCCAGCCCCATTACAAGTATGCAAGGCCTCATTTTCTGATGTCAGTCAGAAAACAGGCCTGGGGAGAATCCCTGGATGAGTTGGTTATCTGGGGATTTTGCTAGAGCTCTTTAAGTCCAAGCCAAAAGGATAAGAGAGAGATTGTTACTATTTTTAGGAAAGTAGGCTCACTGAAGTTGATATTACTTGGAGAAAATTTAAATTTCTCTGCTGAAGTAGGTATATATAAAAAAAATTTTGACAGTGTATCTAAATGTGTAATCTGGCCACATCTGGTCCTCATTAGGCTAGCTAGTCAGATTTTGGAAACATCACATATCCAGGTACATGTAATAGCAAAAATACCATGGTGATAAAAAAGGAATCATGATGATAATAACTTTTGATATTATGTAAAGTTCTATTAGGGGTACAAAGTGGCTTAGCCAGCAGGAAGAAAAATAACAGCATGGCTTTTTAAATAACCAGTGGCATTTGTTAGATGTTCGAGTGGTGGTTGTTCTTGCTTTTAATTATAGAAGGGAGAAAACTTTTTTCTTTGTTGATTAGTCTAAGTCAAACAGTTGAAGGGAGTTTGAATGGGCAATTAGTTTCTGCCACAGTTGTCTTAACCATATAATTGTGTATGACTTTAAGAGTTGAAAATAATGTAAACGCCCTGAATTGATCATTTCAGTTACAGTATTTTCTGCCTGCCACGTTCACTCCTCCTTGGGACTGTGCATGGGAGCCCTTTCTCCTTTCCATGGAGATGAGGAAAGAGGAAAAGGCGATAACCATCCTGTCTCCAAGACCTCTTCATATCTCCAAATACAGTCATTTGCTTACTCCTTAGTCATCACTTCTGAGGCTAAATTACAAAACAGTAGAGATTTCTTTGGCCTTTTTATTCTTATCTCCCATTTCCCAAACAGCTTATAATAGTAGAGTATGGTGGGGACAAGGCCCCTGGGGATTCTGGGGTGCAGCCCACACCCTCTGGACTCAAGACCTCTGCACTCAAGTGTTCTAAAAGCAGCCTGCGTTCAGCTGCCTACTGTGTCCCTTAACAGATGCTGTTAGAAGTCAGTTACTGCCTGTTTCCTGTCTGCTCTGAGTGTGCCTGTGGCCCGGTGCACATGCAGCTCCATGGAACCCATTAAGTTCAGCTTCACAGCTCGAGGGCAGACCACTTGCCCTCCCGGCTGGCCACTTCTGTCACATGCAGGCCCTCACTGCTCGGCCCCCCTGTGGGAAGTGAACCTTTTCCAGTTGTGTCATCTGAAAACTTAACTCTGAGCTGTTTGGGTACCTGAAGAATTAAGGACACGGTGGTTAAGAACTTTAAAGCTAGAAGGAGCTCCCCCTCATTTTAAAGACAGGGAAGCTGAAGACTCGTGGAGTTTGGGTGTCCTTCCTGAAGGCACAGGACTGTTTAGTGGGGAAGCGTGCTGTCTGAGCTACTTTTCTCATTGCTGAGACGCAGTGCCTGTACCTGCATCTCTAAGGAGGAAAGGTTTACTTTTGCTCACAGTTTGTAGAAGTTTCATTCCACAGCCAGGTGGCTCCAAGGCAGAGTGACATGGCAGAGGGGCATTGCAGAAGACAAAGAGCACATGGTGTGGAGGCAGGAAGCAGGAGAGGGATCCGTGGAGGAGCGGGGGGGGGCAGGGGTATACTCCAGGCCACACCCCCAATGACCCACCTCCTCCAACCAGGCTTTCCTTCTCAATCACCTTTAATTATAAACTCATCAGTGCCCCAAAGCCCCACTTGAGATTGCATGATATAAACCAAAACAATGGCTGATGCCATTTCTGTGAAACCTCAGACCTTTTCCACTCAGCCATGGCTGGGGTGGGTAGTGTTGATAACTATCATGAATTATTTGTGGTTATTGAATAATAAGATGAAAGACTTTTGGATTTTTAAAAAGTGGCTTTTAAAATTTTGCTTGTGTTCTCCAAATTGATAAATCTATAAGTATGAAAGGAACTAATTTAAAACATTTTTTTGCAAGAATGCCACTTCTGTTGACTAGGCCTTTGTTTTCCTTAAGATGGACATTGGGATTAGATTTTTAAAACCTGCCATCTAAGGGAATAATTTGTGAAATATGCCATGATGAGGCATAAACCACTACCCTCTCCTGTTCCAGTGTGCCAAAAAAGCGGCAGTTCAGAAAGTCTCACATCATGGATAGATAGTTGCTTTGACTTTACAAAAAAGTGATGCAAGAGAGAACAGTCTTTTAGGGCTTTAAACCTTCCCTGGTGAGTGAGAGCCTCAGAGCCTGAAAGCAGATAAATCTGTGAAAAACCTGCACAATTGAAGAGGAATAGCACACCAGTACACCAATGAGAGAGAGGGAGAGGAAGAGAGGGAACACATGCTAGATGGTAATATATGCCTGAATCAGATAAACTCTTCACGCTAATTTTAGGTACAATGAGACCTTGATGCTGTCCTATGAAAAACCTGCACAATTGAAGAGGAATAGCACACCAGTACACCAGTGAGAGAGAGGGAGAGGAAGAGAGGGAACACATGCTAGATGGTAATGTATGCCTGAATCAGATAAACTCTTCACGCTAATTTTAGGTACAATGAGACCTTGATGCTGTCCTAGTGAATCTAATTTCTTCCCAGAGGTCCCACCTCCTAGTGTTATCCCCCTGGAGATTAATGCTTCAACGTAAGGATCTTGGGGGGATACAAGCATTAGTCCGCAGCACCCAGATTTCATGCTTGCCTCTATCCTAACATATGAGCCCTGCCAGCCCCATTACAAGTATGCAAGGCCTCATTTTCTGATGTCAGTCAGAAAACAGGCCTGGGGAGAATCCCTGGATGAGTTGGTTATCTGGGGATTTTGCTAGAGCTCTTTAAGTCCAAGCCAAAAGGATAAGAGAGAGATTGTTACTATTTTTAGGAAAGTAGGCTCACTGAAGTTGATATTACTTGGAGAAAATTTAAATTTCTCTGCTGAAGTAGGTATATATAAAAAAAATTTTGACAGTGTATCTAAATGTGTAATCTGGCCACATCTGGTCCTCATTAGGCTAGCTAGTCAGATTTTGGAAACATCACATATCCAGGTACATGTAATAGCAAAAATACCATGGTGATAAAAAAGGAATCATGATGATAATAACTTTTGATATTATGTAAAGTTCTATTAGGGGTACAAAGTGGCTTAGCCAGCAGGAAGAAAAATAACAGTATGGCTTTTTAAATAACCAGTGGCATTTGTTAGATGTTCGAGTGGTGGTTGTTCTTGCTTTTAATTATAGAAGGGAGAAAACTTTTTTCTTTGTTGATTAGTCTAAGTCAAGCAGTTGAAGGGAGTTTGAATGGGCAATTAGTTTCTGCCACAGTTGTCTTAACCATATAATTGTGTATGACTTTAAGAGTTGAAAATAATGTAAACGCCCTGAATTGATCATTTCAGTTACAGTATTTTCTGCCTGCCACGATCACTCCTCCTTGGGACTGTGCATGGGAGCCCTTTCTCCTTTCCATGGAGATGAGGAAAGAGGAAAAGGCGATAACCATCCTGTCTCCAAGACCTCTTCATATCTCCAAATACAGTCATTTGCTTACTCCTTAGTCATCACTTCTGAGGCTAAATTACAAAACAGTAGAGATTTCTTTGGCCTTTTTATTCTTATCTCCCATTTCCCAAACAGCTTATAATAGTAGAGTATGGTGGGGACAAGGCCCCTGGGGATTCTGGGGTGCAGCCCACACCCTCTGGACTCAAGACCTCTGCACTCAAGTGTTCTAAAAGCAGCCTGCGTTCAGCTGCCTACTGTGTCCCTTAACAGATGCTGTTAGAAGTCAGTTACTGCCTGTTTCCTGTCTGCTCTGAGTGTGCCTGTGGCCCGGTGCACATGCAGCTCCATGGAACCCATTAAGTTCAGCTTCACAGCTCGAGGGCAGACCACTTGCCCTCCCAGCTGGCCACTTCTGTCACATGCAGGCCCTCACTGCTCGGCCCCCCTGTGGGAAGTGAACCTTTTCCAGTTGTGTCATCTGAAAACTTAACTCTGAGCTGTTTGGGTACCTGAAGAATTAAGGACACGGTGGTTAAGAACTTTAAAGCTAGAAGGAGCTCCCCCTCATTTTAAAGACAGGGAAGCTGAAGACTCGTGGAGTTTGGGTGTCCTTCCTGAAGGCACAGGACTGTTTAGTGGGGAAGCGTGCTGTCTGAGCTACTTTTCTCATTGCTGAGACGCAGTGCCTGTACCTGCATCTCTAAGGAGGAAAGGTTTACTTTTGCTCACAGTTTGTAGAAGTTTCATTCCACAGCCAGGTGGCTCCAAGGCAGAGTGACATGGCAGAGGGGCATTGCAGAAGACAAAGAGCACATGGTGTGGAGGCAGGAAGCAGGAGAGGGATCCGTGGAGGAGCGGGGGGGGGCAGGGGTATACTCCAGGCCACACCCCCAATGACCCACCTCCTCCAACCAGGCTTTCCTTCTCAATCACCTTTAATTATAAACTCATCAGTGCCCCAAAGCCCCACTTGAGATTGCATGATATAAACCAAAACAATGGCTGATGCCATTTCTGTGAAACCTCAGACCTTTTCCACTCAGCCATGGCTGGGGTGGGTAGTGTTGATAACTATCATGAATTATTTGTGGTTATTGAATAATAAGATGAAAGACTTTTGGATTTTTAAAAAGTGGCTTTTAAAATTTTGCTTGTGTTCTCCAAATTGATAAATCTATAAGTATGAAAGGAACTAATTTAAAACATTTTTTTGCAAGAATGCCACTTCTGTTGACTAGGCCTTTGTTTTCCTTAAGATGGACATTGGGATTAGATTTTTAAAACCTGCCATCTAAGGGAATAATTTGTGAAATATGCCATGATGAGGCATAAACCACTACCCTCTCCTGTTCCAGTGTGCCAAAAAAGCGGCAGTTCAGAAAGTCTCACATCATGGATAGATAGTTGCTTTGACTTTACAAAAAAGTGATGCAAGAGAGAACAGTCTTTTAGGGCTTTAAACCTTCCCTGGTGAGTGAGAGCCTCAGAGCCTGAAAGCAGATAAATCTGTGAAAAACCTGCACAATTGAAGAGGAATAGCACACCAGTACACCAGTGAGAGAGAGGGAGAGGAAGAGAGGGAACACATGCTAGATGGTAATGTATGCCTGAATCAGATAAACTCTTCACGCTAATTTTAGGTACAATGAGACCTTGATGCTGTCCTGCTTAAATCTGCACTTGTATCAGTCAGGCTAGGCTGCGTCTTTCTGAGATACCAGAGCTCTTCAAGTCTCTGTAGTTTGGTCCCCAAACTTCTCTCACTTATGCTGCACAGGCCTCCCCAGTCAGCTGGTAGCCCTAGTATGCCTGGTTCCCTAGGGCCCAGGTTGACAGAACAAAAGAAGAAAAATTGCTGCTGATTTTGTTTTGGTACTGGTGATTGAACCCAGGGATAATCTCCTACTAAGCTGTACTCTCAACCATTATGATTATAGAGGCTCACTAAATTGCCCAGGGATGGCCTCAAACTTGGGATTCTCCACCTCAAATCTCCTGGGCTGGTGGGTTTATACCTGGGATTATAGGAGTGCCCGCTTGGTATTGATTTCAGGACTTCCTCTTAGAAATACGTTTTATTTCTTGTATTTATTGGGCAAAGCAAGGCATATGGCCATGCCTAACTTCAAGGAAAGGAAGGGAATAAGAAATTATCCTATCATGTATCTAGGCAAGAATCAGAAATACTTTGTAGAAAGCACTGACAAGTATTATAGGTGTGAATAACAATACTTTTTCCTAGTATGTGAGGAACAGAGATAAATGTTCCTGTAATTGCTGAGGAATTAGTAACACCCCTCTCCTTTATTGGGGTGTAATTGACAAATAGAAATTGTATATATTTATCAAGTATACAGCTTCATACTTGGAAATAAATACATATTATGAATTGATCATAACAATCAAGTTAACATATTCTTCACATAGTTATCCTTCTGGAGTGAATATTTCAGGTGTACTCAGCAAATTTCAGGTGTACGAAACAGTGTTAACTATGGTCACGATCATGTACGTTTAGATCTCAGACAGTCTTCATCTTGTATTACTGACACATGTACCCCATTTGCCCACCTTCTAACACTTTGCAACCTGTTTTTCCTCTCTGCTTTTGAGTTTCACTATTCTGGATTCATATATAAGTAAGATCATACAGTATTTTTCTGTAGAGTGACATGGCTTTCTATTTTTGGGCACAGTACCCTAGTTTTATTAGCTATTATCTATGGTTATCTGATTGGGAGGAAATGGAAATCATGTGTTTTGTGTACATCTATAACAAATATCTTCACACATCACAGTGACTAGGAATTCTACCTCAAGTGAGATAAAGACTTTCTTAAAGTTTCCAAAAGGCCTTTTTTTTGCCTGAAAATTTATCACTGACAGAATTACAAGTTGAAGCTTTAGAAATTGACTGCAGACTGGGAATACTCATGTCTGTGTATGAAGAATCAGTTATAAATGCTAATGTGTAATATTTCTCCATTCCGCAAGGAGGAAATATTGCCTTGCTATGGTTGAATATTTAGTAGCACTACAACTTGAAGTCTCTGTCTTCTGAGAAACAATGATGAGAGTGTTTATGGGTCACACATAACCTTGTCACTTGATGCTTTTCTGTGGAGGCATTTTGTTTGTTTTGAAACACCTCATTACGGCTTACAGGGTAACAGAGGTAATCCCAGTGTTTTGCAGCAGTGAGTCAGAGAGTCGTATTTATAGCTGAAGTAATGTTGATACTAGCTAAATAAGTATTTTCTCACCTACTAGGAGTTTTTGAAGATGAACAAAGTGATGATTTAAAGAAAAAAAATTAAAATATTTTGAAAGTTTCCTAAGTGACTCACAGCAGCTGATTTACTTGTTTTATTCTGCAGATGCATCAGGGTATAAATAAATATGACTATGGGACATAGTGTGAAGACAGCAGAAAATAATATTTTCATTATTAATAGCTATATTTGGGATGTTCATAGCTCCTTGGCATTTGGAAATACTCTTCAACTGCATCATGATGCTTTTCGTACAAAAGAAGCAAATAGATGCTCCTTGATTTCTGGGTGAATTTCTGGAAAGCAAACTTTTCCATACTGTGGAAGACTGTATATAAGGCCTTCAATCCTTAGTCCACAACCAACCTTCCCTGTGCTTTTATTTTAGTGATAAGGAATATTATTGGAGTTATACTAGCAGTTGAGTAGACTTGCATATGTTCAGCCTTTCTCTGCAGCTACTTTAATCTACACCAGTGATGGCGAAGCTTTTAGCGCCTTTAGTGTTACAGCCTGCTGTAGCACATGTGCCATAGATTCACTGCCACCGAGCTGAGTTTTAAGTTTGGAATGTCAGTACCTTTTGAATCAGTTCATTTCCTACTGAAAATTTTAGTTACTGCTATTTCCCAGTGAATAGCCTCCATGAGACAGTTACTTTTCCTGAATGACAATATAGACATTAGACCAGTCTTTGTTTTAAACTCTCTAGATAGCCAACGCTATGTTCTGTACACCTAGTCCAAATAGGTGACCATTATAATATAATTGTAAATTTTTTAATTGTTTGTTTGATTTTTGTTAGGGGAAAAAATGTTAAATTTAAGAATCATTTCTTTGATCTTTCCAGTGACTACAATAAAATAGGTGCTCAAATAAAAGGATGTGGACAAATAAATGAGTATATTCTTCTAATGAAATAAATTCTCAGATTAAGTAAAAAAAAAAAATGAATGCAGGAAAAAGCTAGTACGCTTACTAGCCAGTACCCTTTGTAGACAAGGAATCCTTAAGGCATGTTTTTTTTTTTCTTCTTTTGTAACAGGGATTGAACTCGGGACTTTGTGCTTGTGAGACAGGCGGTGGAACCATGGAGTTAAATCCCCGGCCCCAGGGCATGAAAATGAATGCAGGAAAAAGCTAGTAGCTTACTAGCCAGTACCCTTTGTAGACAAGGAATCCTTAAGGCATGTTTTTTTTTTTTTCTTCTTTTGTAGCAGGGATTGAACTTGGGACTTTGTGCTTGTGAGACAGGCGGTGGAACCATGGAGTTAAATCCCCGGCCCCAGGGCATGGTTTTTACTATATGAACTGGGAAAATAAGATACTAGAGACTCTTAAGTCAAGTCAAGGCTTGGGTTGTCAGCCAGAAGTTGAGGACAGTGTTTACCACAGAGAGAAGAAAACGTTATGGGGTTTTCCAGAACACCACCAAGTCCCAGCTATTCCCTCTACCCTGCCATGTAACTAGTGATTTTCTAACTTAGATTTCAAATACTCTAGAAGGAAAATGGATCTCAAGAAACAATTTTTTTCCGGAAAGACATTGATTCATGGTTTGCAAAGAAAAAAATGCATTCTAGAAATCTTCTCTAGTGTGTGTGTTCTTAATGTAAAATTTCTTAATGCTAAACATATGTTTGATTTAGGAGACCGAGTGGTATTTTAGTTAAGCATTGATTTCACTGATATAAATTGGTTGGGCAATACCATTTCTAAAATTCTTTCTGGTTTGGAGGCATGATAATTACGGATGTGTTTGTATTACAAGAACATTCCTTTGTACCACCATCAGTAGCTACCAGCAGTGTGACACTGAGGCCGTGTTGAGGGGGTAGATGCTCGGGATACCCTAACCTCTGATGGTGATCACTTGTGTTGCACACAGGAGCCGAGATCCAGCTTTGACAGCTGCTCTGATGGACTGAACACAGATGTTCAGGTGCCCTCTCCGGCGCCTGCCCTACTGTGGCCAGGGGCCTCAGCTCACATCCTGTCTCAGAGAAGTGAATCCGCTCATGCTATTGGCAGCGATCCCCTTCAACAGAACATTTACGAGAATTTCATGCGAGAGTTGGAAATGAGCAGGACCAATACTGAACACATAGAAACATCCACAGAAACTGTCGAGTCCAGCAGCGAGTCACTCAGCTCGCTGGAGCAACTGGATCTGCTCTTTGAGAAGGAGCAGGGAGTGGTCCGGAAAGCCGGGTGGCTTTTCTTCAAACCCCTTGTCACCTTACAGAAGGAAAGGAAGCTGGAGCTGGTGGCTCGGAGGAAATGGAAACAGTACTGGGTAACACTTAAGGGTAAGCATATTTGTTGTAACTCCCTGAGGCCCACTGACAGTTGTTTCCTGCCCTGTACTCCTCTAGGTAAAGTGTCACTAAGGTCCAAATCCCTTGGAATTAATGTGAAGGATTCAATGCATAATCTCAGGGCATGCTGCACTACAAATCCTTCGCCAAACTACTATACAAAGGCTTACTTACCTTCACATATATTAATCACTCTAAACAAATAATGGTTTAGTTTTAAAGCTATTGCTTATTATCTTGTATGTATTACTGTACCATTCTTTGACACTGTTTGTATATGTGTGTGTGCGGGGAAGCGGGGGTAAAACGAAATAAACTATGAATGTTTTGGGGAATGTTGGTCTTAAATTTCAATTCTATACATTTCCAGAACTTCAGAGTGGTATCTTTCACAGCTCGAATATTATCTTGAATATCATCTGGATTCTTGGATTGTAACATCTCACTTTTATGAACTGAGAAAGTCTAATTTGTTTGTTTGGTGCTGGGATGGAACCCAGGGTCTTGCATATACTAAGCATTGCTCTGTCCCTGAGCTCTACTACTTACAAGTCCAGCTTTTCTGTCTTTCTTCTTCCCTCCGTCTCTCCCTCTCTTCCTCACTCCCCCCATGAAGGAAATAGAAACAGAAATTTGCTTTGTTACGGTGATATAAATTTCTTCAAGCATTGCCATCTAAAAATTATAATTGCTTTATTTATGGTGGTTGTGTAGATGTAAAGAAATCTAAATGTCTGATTAGGAAGTGAGAGGCCCTCAATCCATAGTGTTGATTTATAGAGATGCAAGCAGGAAGAGCAGCCTCCCAGCCTAACAGCCTTTGGCAATCTCCACAGCCCTCCTGTGTCTCTTTTCAGAGGATCTAAGAGTGATATTTCAAAAGTCAGACCTTGTTAGCAGGTGGTCCCCTTCCCCAGCGTGGAAGAAGGCAGAAATGGAGTCACACCTTAGGCAGCCCGTGTAAAACGTGTGAAACACTTGGAGCCCTCTGCATTGCTGCCTCCTAGCTTTCTTCCTTTGCCCCCTATTTACAAATATGAGCACCCATCCCCCAGCCTTGCAGAGAAGACGTCATGTTCTGATTACCCATAAGCTCCTCCGTAGAGGCGTGCTAACTAACACGGTTCCCTGGGTGTTGGGGAGGACTGTGTGTGTGTGAGATCCAAGGACCCGGTAACCTGTCCCCATTGCATTCTTCTTTTTTTTTTACTCTTGATTTGGATCCTGTGGTACCACTGTGGCTGAGAAAGGCAAAGAACTTACTCAGTTTTTGTATATAGGGAAAGCAGTTTTATATGAATGACAGAAGAGATTTGGAAGTTGGAATTATGCGTTGAATCTAGTAAGACAAGATTTTGAAGGGCTAAGAAGTTATGTCTTAAGGCTTAAAAGTCAAAGAGCTACCCAAGGATAGGCTAGGGGCATATGACTGCAATATATAAGTGAGAAAGACTTGCAGGTTTGACTTGCATAAAAGCTATTGCTTATTATTTTGTATTTATTGCTGTACCATTTTTTGACACTTCTTATTTGTGTATGTGGAGGGAGTAAAACTAAACTATGAGATAGCTGACTTGCAGCCTCATAATGGGTTCCCAGGTACTAAGGCCAAAGTAAAAGTCGATGTGCTTCACAAGAGAGAATGTGACCCTCGCCTCCGACAGGAGAGGTGTCATGTTTTTTGCAAAGGAGGTGACAGTCTCCTGGTCAGAGTTGGCCATTTCCCTCCGAGCAGGCCTGATACATATCAGAGAGGACTTGTTCATAAATAAGAAGATGGCTCTTGAGAAGGCTGTATGTGAAGTGTCCCTATCTGGAGAGCGAAGCCAACTTACTAGGTAGTGGTGGTGTGTGTAGGGGGCTGAGCCCCTGGAACTGTTTATGAATCACAGGTGAAGCTGCCTCTTACTTTTATGATGTGTAGAATGGATGCACTTAATCCACCATGTTTTGTTTTTAAGTAAAATTTGTTTCTTAAAAGTAATGCTTTTGAAAGTTCACCCTGCCTGCGTTAACAAACCTGTGTGCATCTCCACGTGATGGCGGGTGATGGTGAGGTACACACAACCACATCCCCCTTGGAAGAGCAGAGCCATCCCTGATACTGAAAGGATTTTGAACCATATCGTATGGAAGGTAGGGTAAGGGTCTAGGAATCTTTACCTCAATGGAAATAAGAAGTGGGGTGAGCGTGAGCCTCAGTGTTATAAAGGGACCTCGACTTTATTTTGATTCTCCAAGGGCTAGGATAGGACTAATAGAGGACAGGCTGACTTTGTGTTGCTGAAAACAGCCACCACCTCTAGAGCCACCAACAGAGTGGGAAGACAGTACCATACCTTCCTACTTCCCCTGCTTCTAAAATCACTATGGTGCAGCCAGATTTTCAAAGCCCCCTTGTTGCGGGTGGGGGTGGGAGGGTTGAGTCAGATTCAGGCAGGTGTAATGTAAAAGCTGAAAGGGTCCATTGCCAGACACCTCTGGTCCACCCTGGAAGGTAGACCAAAACTCCTGGCTGCTGACTTCATGGGCAGTGATCAGCCTGGGTTTTCTTTGACTATTTTAGGATCCCCCTGCCTGTGCCTTGCTCTCTTGGAGTTACCAAAACTCCTGGCTGCTGACTTCATGGGCAGTGATCAGCCTGGGTTTTCTTTGACTATTTTAGGATCCCCCTGCCTGTGCCTTGCTCTCTTGGAGTTTACTTGTAAAATCCTTCAAGATGCAAGGATAGTGGGTGCTTTGTAAGCATTATCAAGCACACATTCCTCATTTCCTTTTAGTCAGGGCTAGGTATGTGATAAAGATGTTTTTCTCAGCATGACTTTTCCCACATGGCTTTCTATACCTTTTTCCTCTGGAAATTCATTATGTTAAAGTTCCACATTCTTGGTTTAGAGTCCAAGTTGTAATGTTTGGACTTCGGTTTAATCTTAGTTAAAAACCTGTAAGTTCATTTAGGCAGAATTTTAAAATTATGCTCCAAATATCTATGTAGATAAATTAGAAGCAGTTTTCTGTAGAGAGCAGTTACCAGCAAACTATCTGGTGAGCTGCTTGTATCGCATGTGTAGGATGCTAAGGGCACAGATGTTTTTCAGGGTCGGGAGGGTGTAATAAAATGTTAACAAGGGTGGTTCTGCTTTATACTTGCCTCTCCCAGTAAGTGGATTTTCTTTCTTTTTTTGGTACCAGGGATTGAACTCAAGTCCTTGCGCTTGCAAGGCAGGCCACTGAACCACTGAGCTAAATCCCCGGCCCCCAATGAGTGGATTTTCATGCAGTTCATAGAGACTTCCCAGGATGAACAGTTCACAGATCACCAAAGATGTCCCTCAAGATGCACATCGGGCAAGCTCATTAGATGACTTTAGAAAGCTAGTGTTTCTGCCCAGAGATGGGTCAGCAGCAGAGAGTTGAGCAAAAGTGTGGGACCAGGGGGTGTCAG